GAAAAGAGAGAGAGAGAGAGAGAGAGAGAGAGAGAGAGAGAGAGAGAGAGAGAAGGAGAGAAAAAGAAAGAGAAATGGGGAAGAGAAAGAGAAAATAAGAGACGGAGAAATGGGCGGATGTATATATATTGTCGCGATCTCACCCCGCGTTACTACCCTCATCAACCGTCACGGAGATCCCGATCTGCGCAAAGAGAACCACTGCGTGAAAACGCAGGATCTTAACACAAGGACGTTTCTACGTGAGTATAGTCTCCGTGTCTTTGTATCGGTGCTGTACGTGAAGGGAAATGTGCAATGGTGTTTCTGGAAGCTGTATTGGAAGCAGCGAGGACACCGATGGCGATGTTAACGCAGATGTGTGAGGCTGTCATAGCGTTCGTGGATGTCTCTACGTTTGCAAAGGTGTCGGAGGATATGACTGGTTGCTAGTAGTAGTAGTAACGTGTGCGCTGTGACGCACGCCAGTAGATCTCGCTGATCGAGTACGTGATGCTCCATGATTTTGCAGGAGGTTGCAGCAGCGCGACTATCTCTGTCTATATTCATAATACATCAACGTTTCGCGTGACGTCGATATCGGACTTCCTGTATGATATCGGTGCGAGACACCGTACACGCTTGATAACGTAACAGTTTGAATGGCGATGATTTTCAGCTACTATTGACGTCAGGATCATACCATTACTTGAGACTATGATTTATTTCAAATGATTTATAGCTTGTATTATAGCTTGTAAATTAATAGAAATGTCTTTATAACATAGCCATAGCCTAAACTTTCGCTAATGTATCTGGCTAGAGCTCACGCTGTAATCGCTAACGATACCAGCAAAGCTTCTGACTCATGGTGGTAACGCCAAAAGTTGCTCCTATACACAAACGCCCTGATGGTTTCTCACGGTATTCGACTCTCATATACCTTTCGCTCGTCCATGTTGAACTTGCTATTGGTGTAAGAACGTTCGCGACGCTCATGGAGAAGGATCTTCCTACACAGACGCGGCTTCCAACGCTATCTTCATTCTTCTCCACCCTCGCTATGCTCGTGTCGAGGCTTCTGCCGGCGTTGGAGTCGCTGATGGTGGTGGTAGTGGTGGTGGTGGTGGATGAAAAGGGAGGTTGGAAGCGTGCCTGTGGAGGTGGGTGACGTCGGCAACGGCGGCGGTGGTGGTGGTGGCGGCGGTGTCGGCGGCAGCGGCGGCAGCAGCAGCGGCGGCGGCGGCGGCGGCGACGCTGGTGGTGGCGGTGATGGTGGTGGCAGTGGCGGAAGGTAGTTTCTGGGCGGTGGAGGGCGCGGATCGTCGTCCGCAAAGCCGTGCGTTCACCCCGTGCCGCGACGACAACAGGGCGTCGTTCGTTCTGGTGCGAGCGCCGGGAGTTCGCCGGGGGTTTTGCCGTCGAACTATCCTCGAACCAGCAGATTGAACCGATCGAACCGGTTGTCCGGCCGGGGGAGCGTAGTTCGAATCTCGTGGCCGCGCGGACAACCGCGGATCCCTGCGGACCGATTTGTGTCGTGTCAAGACGATTCCGTGCTTAGCTCGCGGCGATCGACGCTCGCGATTAGCGGCACGTCTCTACCGTCGTGCACCACGTGGCTACCGTCGAACGTGGCGATCCTATCGCGGCGCAGCATATATCTGGAACCTTCAAGTTGGGTAGTGGCCGTGTCGCGCGTGTTTCTGCTAGGATTTACGCAAAAGATCCTGTTCGTTGAAATACGAAAACTGGCGAAAGACCTTGCGGTTAGAGTTTGCTATGGGGTTGTGGCTATTCTCGAGCTTGGATATCAACGAAGCGGAACAGGCATCCGCGCCGCTAAGGGAAACTTGATCAAAGCTCGTCACTTTTGGACGGTGGAGAAAGTTCACGCTCGAGGAACAGTGTGGACAGATAAATTTCTCGCATGACTGATCTCGTATGTCGAAGAAAATCGTCACTATAAAGAACGTCACGTGGTTCTTCAGACGTCCGGAAACTACCGGGTTAAAGTCGCGAATTTATTTGAGCGAAGAGTGATCGAATGCAGAACTCATGCGGATGTAACGTGAATGTTAAATCATTCGACATTGGATGCGATTAATCGTTAAGTGTGTGTCATCGGAGTTACATATTGGAGTTCACTGAAGCGAGTCTCATGTGTTGTCGGAAGTGGGTGGATCTAGTAGATGATGACGCAAGAAGCTTTGTGAAGTGAGATATAAGATATAAGATCAGCACGGGTTTTGTGAGGTGACGGTAAAAATAAGGGTCAGTGTTAGTGAATCGAGTTTCGACCGATAGGTCTGTTTCGTCGTCGGTTTACAGGTCAGTTGTCAGAGATCGCCCGCACGATCGACCTATTTTGGATTACCCTGTATAAACGTCGTGGATTCGCGCCCTTCGTCGGTACGGCGAGCACGTGAATCGTCCCTTAAAGCGAGAATCGATCGGACCGCTTGCGTACAAAACTTCGTGGACTGGTAAGTTCCACGAAGAGGTCCGCGAAAATCGTCGGGAAGATGAACGTAAATGGGTCTTACTAATCAGACCCATTTCTCAAAACTCAGCTTAACGTGATAAAAAGGAGAGTAATTCTTAAAAAGTTTCTGTCTAAAGTCTACATTGCCGGTGTTATCTTGAATGAAAACGTTCGTAAAATTTTATTTAATGTTCGTAAACTTTAAGTATGACTAACATTCTTAAACTTTTCTAACTTTCTCTGAAGAAGGTTCGAGGGTATTCTGATTGACAGAATCAAATATTTTTAGGAAACACTCGATAAGTTGACTGCTGAAAAAATGAAAAAATTGTAGGGATTATAGAAGAGAAGAAAAGTGACGCAGATTGACGATATCAGTAAAAACAGTCGCATGTTCTTCAAAGTTTAAGAACATGTGACTGTATTTACTGATACCGTCAATCTGTGTCACTTTTTAAATGAAGAGGAAGTATTGTTCGCCACTCATTGCTGGTCAGTCGTTATTAATGATTGCTAGTCGTTGTTATCTGCGCGTAATAGAGGCTTGACTAAATCTGATAGTTATGCTCTCTAGCATAAAAACGGTTTACTTAATTTCAATTATTTTGGCATTTACACATATTTACGCCGTTTTTAAGAGTGCTTTAATATTACTTTAACAGATTAAAAATTTTATTTAAATTAAAATGAAAATTTCAATTACAATATTATATATTATAATCTTTCTACAATTTATTATAATAATTAATTTTGTGTAAAGAGAAAGAAATGATTGCAACATTTAATCTTTGGGAGATGTTTGACTAAGGAAAAATTAAAAACCTATTAAACAAATTTTGAATTTTGATGCTTACAGCTTTTTACGTTATGTAGTGATATTATTTATATTTATCATAGAAAAAAGAATTGGCAGTTATTATCCTTGTGAATGAGTTAATGAATATTATTGAAAATATTATAACAATTGTCAGTAATACTCTATGATAGCAATACTTTCGTATGCAATGCTTAAACACAATTTCGGGCGTTGAGCCCTGCGTATCTCGTGCGAGGGTGAGAAAGCTCTTGTTTACGTGAGCTTGGAACCATCTCCGTAAGCATTGACACGTTCAATTAACTCTACCCGCTAGGATACTTGTGAGTAGTATCGACTTAAAGAGTTCCTTCTCCCTGATGGAAGAACATAAACGTGTGAAGAATCCTTTTCTATAAATAAATCATTTCGGTATCGACGTATTGCCCCTTCAGAAAATGTGGATAACGAAAACAATAATCCGGTGACAGTTTCCTACGAAAATGTACGAGATTGCTGCGAAGTCGGAGATGTAAGAAGGAAAGTTACGCGCGCGTGCTTGCGGACTCAGTTGCTCGTTTGAATATTTTTCTCAAGTTGTTCGAATTATTTCGTGCGGAACGTTACCAGGATTATCACTGTGAAAGCCAGTATAGTGGAGGTGAGACATATGTAGAATACTTCGGAGTTTTAAGAAAAGTATTAAGAAAATGCTGACTTAATATCTCATGCAGAAATAAGGACTATTTTATTCAGTATATACATCAATCGGTCGATGCTTTGGACATATACTAACGATTTGCAAATGGAATTATAGTTATTGTTTTATTAAAATATAAGCTAATATAATAGATTTTTATAATAGATTTATAATAGATAGATAATATATTTTTTGTTATTTATTTTTAAATTGCTTATATACGTATATTTCCTAAATAATTGTTTTTATTTAGATTAGAACGGTATTGCACGCGTAACAAAGAATAATTATTTAATAAAACAGAACATGAAATATTTATGAACGTTAAAGCATCCATGGCATATTCGGTTTAAATGAGCCGAGTTTTAATTATTCATTTGTATTAGCAGAAATGTGTTACACTGATTGTGAGAAAATTTGCCTTGTTCAATTGGTCGATTCGCTATTACGCTGATTGCACTGAAAAATAATAGCAATAAGAAATTAAATCGCTAAGATAAAAAACATGCGTAATGGTGCGTAAGTAATGCATTGGGCAAAGTGATTATTGGGCGAGAATTATGCACTCTGCGAAATAAAGAGATGCACGAGCGACAATGGTTAAATACAAAATATCTATATGCGTTAATAGGTTATATAGGAAGAGAAAGAGAGAGAGAGTTGAGAAAGAGAAAAGAGAAAAGAGATGAAAGAGAGGAAAGAGAGGAAAGAGAGATAAAGATGGTCGTATCGCGTTTGGTTTATCGATCGTGCATTTCGGGTATGTGCAAACGTTCGTGCGAGGTGCTTTATTTGAAATCGTCGCGTGTCATACGGCCTCGGAAAGATTCGCGCTGCTGTTTGAGCGGGGCGGGGCTACTGGGTGTATCCGCGACAAAAAGGAGCATCCGCGCCTTTAATTAAAGCCGTTCGCGCTCGAAGACATCGTCGGCGAAATTGATTATCCGTAATTGGGACTTGACGCGAGGTTCTCTCTTGCACGGTATAGCCGCTGGGCTTACAGCAGCAGCGACTAGACAGCCTGTATCGGAAGTCGACGTCAATAAGCCTCAGCGCAGCACGCTGCCATACACAGGCGATCGGGCGGATTACAATGGCCGGCCGCACAAAAAGCGATAGCGAAATAGAAACGTGGAAATCGGATGTGGCAGCCCGGTTATACGCTCACGAATGCGCCAATGTCGTTACATCGGCATCGGTTCTATGAATACGATCACGAAAAATTCACCGATTTCATATCGCCGCGAATACTTGTAGATAAGGTTCCGTTTTCGAGATGAACTTGTATTTTTCTTTTAGCTATTAATGGACCATAGATCTGTCATATCTTTGAATTAAATTAGAAACATTGATTAATTTATTGTGTATGAGCTTTAATCGGTTAGATTACTATCGATATAATAGCTAAAGAGAAATTATAACGAGATTTATATCAGCTAATAGTTATCATCAATTTATCAACTTTATCACGTGGTCGGTGTGCGTTCGATATTGAATTTGCAAGAGAGGCTTTTCACCGGTGGGTTTAATTTCGTTGATATTACTGTATCTCGACATGGTCGTCGGTCGTAACGAAAGCATTCATGCTCCGAAAGCGCAAGAAAATAATGAAAGTATACGATTTACGAAAGATGTGATCGTTTTTTGACCGGAAATCACACGACACGAATCCAGAGATGAGCTGTTCGTAGATGGCCCGGGACATATTTGCATATTCTGTGAATGTATCATAATGTTCGGAAAGAGGAATAGCGCGTTTTTATCGGCACAACTGTAAATCGAGAGTAATGTCCGATAAAAAGACGATTTGTATAAACTCGACAGCACTTAATCGACTTCGATGCATTTCCTAAATATACGTATCTTTGTCGGCCAAATCTAAATGTTTTAATTACAACATTTGTATTATATGTTTACATATAAAAGAAGCTATTGAATAGCATATAGATATTACAATAATATTCAAACGTGTTTTTTTTTAATAAAAAAATCTTGACAAAAACAATTGGCTAAAAACAATACATTTCAACATACATAGATAATCTTGAGCAGTTAATTTTTTTACGTTTTCTGCAGCCATTTCAGATTAATGACATCAAAAGCGAGAAAATATATCATAAAAGTTATTAAAATAAAAATGTTTTTTAATAAAATAGAGTTTGTAATTGGTAGAATAGATTTGTAAAATATATCGAAAACTCCCCTTTTACATATTTGGGCAATCATTGGGGGGAATGACTCATATATATCGAATTGAATTGTGCCTAATCAAGGACGAAAACAAGCTGTTTGACAGCTGCTGAATTGAAATAAATATTTGCTTTTACATATTAAATTATAATAAAATGGAAGTCTTCGATATATTTTAACTCTACGACAATTATTTTAAATTTAAAAACACTGAACTGAAACGAAAAATGACGCTGTACGTTGCGCAAGAACAATTTAGCTTTTTAACGTCATTTTTTACGCTTTATAATTCACGATTTTGCCAAGAGTGACGCTGTGTGTACTGTCAACACGGACTTGGCAATCGAGCCAGCATCAGAAGCTTAATATCGTTTTTATCGGATATAGAATGCAAAAATAAAAATGCATACTTTGTATTTTTATTTTTTTCTATCAAATGTTTTTGTACTTAAAACAATATTCTGATTTGTTAAATTGTTTTAGAGAGGATGTTCGTTATGCAGCTTGAAAATCGAGCCACTTTGTTTCTAATGAGTGCATATTCATAATGAACAAGGAAGATGGCATTTCTATCTTCGATCCATACACTTTTCAAATCGATAAAAGGCACTGTTTCAAATTAGTCGAAAGCACAGCTGTCTCTCGCTGAAACGAGATGCGATGTCGCGTCGCGAAGTCTGTCTAGAAAACGTATTATTTCTCCATTTACTCATGTCATTGCGTTCTCCGTTTTCTATGACCTTCCAGAAACATTAACATTCCAAAGTTTCGTTCTATCCCACATGTCCCACCGAAACATTTCCAACACGTTTCACAGAATTTCACAGAATTTCGGTTATAATATTGCACATAGTTGCTTGACCTGAAATGAAATTTACAGCCGCGAGCACGGTAGCAAACATCCCTCAAAGCTCGCGCGATCTTTCAAAAAATGCGTGACGATATCTCGGGAAATATACGGCCATTGCACAGTTTTCACAGAGAGATGCTTTTCTCCTTTACGATACTCGCGTTTGATGAAGTCCTCCGCGCGGCTGTATATTTCCCGAGAAATTATTTAAATATTTAATTTCTTCCGTTGTTTATGCTTTTCTTTCTCATGTTCTTATTCGCGTTTGACAGTCGTAATAAGTATATGGAATCTTTCCAGGCTTATATGCATA